GAACTCGGGCTATAGACATGATTTTTAATCCATTTTAAATACTTAAAGTTTTAAAAATAGAATAAAATCTCGTAGACAAATTAATTGCACACCAAGTGAACGCGAATAAAAAAGCGCATAATAGTGCGCAATATTATTAGTACTTTTAAAATTTACATTAGTTTTTTGAGAAATCGGAAGTAGCGTAAATAAGTACTTCCGGTCAACGAAAAATTCTCAAAATTTGACAGAAGGTAGAGAATTAGATCTTTTACTTACATATCAAATTTCATTTATCTATCTGAAATAGTACTCAAGTTATAGGCTTTTGAAAAATTCAAAGTAGAAAAAGTACCACTTCCGGTTATCCGAAATCGCTCAAAAGTTGATACGGATCTACGATTTTGATAAAATACTTGTATATGAAATTTCATCAACCTAGCTGTAACGGTACTCAAGTTATCGTGTTTACACACGGACACACACACACACAGACACACACACACACAGACACACAGACATACGGACAAGATTGCAAAATTATGTTTTTCCGTATCAGTGAGATGCAAAACGTCGAGATTTGCAAAAATCTCGATTTTTTTTTTTGCACGATTACAAGACTTTCTCTATACTTCGTATATACGAGAAAGTAAAAATGGTATAATTACCACCAGGCAGTCACACATTTGATCAAAGCCATTTCTTCAAACTTTAAATGTGATGGCCTAGGCAAAGTTATAGACAATTTGGCATTGAAATCCTGGCAGCTTATTATTTAACTGATACTTAAGCCAATGCTAATTTCCACATTTGGCCTTTACTTTAATCTAAGGCTCATCCTTTAACTCAAGCTAATCCTAGAAATAAAAACTAATCTTGCACCACAATTATCCACCGCGACAATGTCGTTTGAAACTTCCGTCTTAAGGCGTGTTGACGTTAAGGCCGATTGTCATAGTTTTTGTTCCTTGATGGTGTCGATGTGGTAGAGTTGGTAAAGCTTATGGTTGCTAAACCGAAAAGTCTCGAGATCGAACCCTCGGGCAATTGTTCTTGGTTGGAAAAAGGTAATGAACCAGATCACAAAAGAAAAACTGGCTGAAATCGGAATCAATGACTTACAAGTTGACCCCCCTTTCCCCCCCCCCCCCCCCCCCCCCCACCCCGCCCATTGAAAGCAGCCATTTACAGACGACAATGAAAAGATGTAGCAGAAATTGTAACCTCTCCTTTGTTTCAAATCGTTTAAATACTAAATTATATGTCCCTAATAGCCGTCACTAACTCAACCAGGCTCTACCATGTAAACATTCGTCGTGAACCATTCCAGTGGGAATGGTAGCGATATTCCCGGAGTGTGTGATTAATGACGTGATTCTACGTCTTGTCCCGCATGGTCCCCATGAAGAGAATTATATATATATATATATATAGATACTTAATTATGTTGGAAGGATTGTCTCACCTAGTCTTCATAGAGGAGGCTATCACATACATGAGTAACCCATATTTGCTAATTTTTTTTAAACGAACATGGGTGTTAATTTTTTTTTCTTTGGCAGTTTTGTTTGACGGCCCGTTTGGTATATGTCGCATTGCATACAGCATGCTATATAAACACGAGTGAAGCAATACAGTTCTCAAAATGAAAACCATGCCAGATTTATTAAAACGCCATCACACTGTAGCCTACAACGGACACATAAACAAAATGATAAACAAACACACAGATGAGATTCCGACATGGGAAAAATAATATGTCGAGGGTATGATTTTTTCCCCGATTATAATACTTTCTAAATGACAAATTAATACATGTTTATAAGTCTTTCTTCTTCTTCGTTCTTAATTTTTGGTGTTGGGAGGGATCGAGCCATATCTGCCAGAGGGTTTGAAATCGAGACTTATTTCGAGCTTTGCCGACTCGACCACGCCTCCATCGCAATTAAGGATTACGTGTCAACTGGTTATGCGCCATTGAGGCCATTGACTCCGATTTCAGCCTGCTTTTCTTTTTGGATTTGCTTCCATAGCCTTTGTCCAACCAAGAACAAACTACAAGGCAGCAGTTGTTTGATTTTGGAGTTGTCTCTCCTAGAAGAGTGGCTGTCCCCAGCTAACGAGCCTCATCTGTCTGAGGGTTCGAACTCGAGACTTTTCTGTTTAGCAACCATGAGCTTTACCGACTCGACCACGCCGACCCAATGTTTATGAGTGACCCAAGCTCTTCTTTATGGTGATATTTCATTCTGCTAGTGGTTGTTGTATGCGAGAAGCATTACAGGGCCGACGAAACAAGATAAAGTAGTTTCACTTTAAACACAAACCCCTTCGATTTGTCTTGATTCTTTAGTTGATATTTGTTTACAGTATGTATCTACCACAGTTCACTATGAAGCGATGCCTACAATAGCTATAGTAGAAAGATAGCTTGGAGATAACAATACTTGAACAACAATTACTATTAGGTTCCTACGATAACCAAGCGACAACAAAATGATGACTGACCTTCTAACCTATCTCTGTATTTATATACCCCTAATCTCGAAGACCTAACTTCAATAAATGTCACTCACCTTCTAATAGCTACTATGCTACAGAAGTGTAGGCTACATTTTTTAAGTGCCATAATAAGACACAACGCTAATACGCATAAACAAAAGGGACGTTACTCTAAACGTACATAGTTGATTACGCCACCTTTTACGATAATCCTATTATATAAAAGACCATGTGCGCACTTCTCTCTCTCTCTCTCTCTCTCTCTCTCTCTCTGTCCGCAAAATATTTTCGTCAGACATCACATCAGAATCTGCAGCAATATATGAAGAAATGTATACGGACTTTTGTTGAAAATAATATGTTAGATGTTTTAAATGTATAACCACAATTTTATTTAAAGAAGAAAAATAAAAAATAAGGCGTATTCGAATGTAGAAAAACAATTTTAATCATGCAACCGGAAAAGTGTTTATACTTGGGACAAGAAACGCTTTAACAATGACGTCGCTTATTGTTTACACTAAAAATGAGCACGAAACTGATGACGTCATCTTCCGAGTTTAGAATAAAATAAAGAAATGAACTATTTCATTCAAATAAGATTTAGAGCTAGATTCTACGTACGCTAAGAAAATTATACAATACGATTTTCTCGGCCTAAACTTTTATAAGTTTTTACTTTATCTATTTGGATTCTAGATATAGATCTAGATCTCGATTCTAGATCTAGACTAGATCTACGGAAAAACTAGACTTAGATGCTAAGATCTGGATTTAGACCATCTACTAAAACCACATATCTACCATTGAACAGCCGGGTTTTTAAAGAAATCGTTTAAGTCTCTTAATTTTAAGTCTCTTAATCAGTGAGTGCGTTTAATATGGTATGGTTACCAATGAAGAAATGAACTATTTCATATAAATCTATAGATCTATTCATAAAAACCTAATAAAAATAAATCTTTTCTTTGCTTTGTCAGTAATATCGTTCAGCGTGTAGTAATGCGCATTGCGTTTTGACTAACAACTATTTTATAAATTATTTTTCTCAAACAAGTTCAACATTTTAAAATATATAGGCCTATAATTCACGCGAAACGGGTACCGATGGCTAGTAATATATCTAATTTACATTCCTAACAGTTGTAATATTTTTTATTATAAGAAAGAAAATTTCTTCTATGTGCGCATATGAACTAGTTTGATTTATAAATGTGTTTGTATTTTTTATCTTCAAATGTAGATTTACAGCTATTTGGTAAACTCTGCTTATTTTCTTTTTATGATTATTAACGCTTTACACCCATTGTTTTCTCACAAATGTGTTCATAGCATTGGAAGAACATAATAGTCTAAGTATTGATAACTTGGGCTGCTATATTTGATGATACAACTTGTGCTGATCAAATTTCAAATATTCCATCGAAATTGGGATTTTTAAAAATGTATACAATTTTTAAAGAAAAAAATTACTCAAAACAATTTATTTATATTTTATTATCGTGTAAACAAGCATATTTTAATAAGGGTAGTTTCAGGTAAATATTTGACAATCTATGACTACGTTTGCATTTTCACACATCCCACTCACTCTCTTATAAATCAAGCTAGTTTTTAATCATTAAGTATCTTGTTTGTGTGCTGTCATAATCTGAAAACTTGTCAATTTTGTAAAGTTTAATAATAAAAAAAAGTATTGCTTTTTAAAAGAAATCATGCCATTTATAAATTAAATTTGTACTTGTGAATATGCAAATAAATAGTATAAATTATGAAATACCTTAATTATTATATGCAAACAAATGGTATAAAACTATGAAATCCCAAAATTAATATATCCTGTAAACACTACACATTGTTCGGCAATGGATTAAAATAACGGAAGATACAAGGCTGCTCCAAATCTGACGCAATATCACAAGTATTGTATTGTTGATGTTATCCTAAACCTAGTAACGGTCATTAAATTACAGTCGAAATAATTTAAATATTAAGCTTGAAAATGTTTGTCTGGTTGAACATGGTCGGGAAATGTTTTAATGAGTTTTATATAAATCTATTTTGGAGTATTTACAAAATAATAAATCTATTAAAACTCAAAGCTAAATATAAAATAATTTCGAGTGTCATATTTTAAAATACAACTACAACGCACAAGATGTGGCTATCAATAAGTTGCCTTTTGTCTTTGGCTTTTAAAGATACGCATCTCCGTTATTCCTAAAAGAAAAAGCTAATGTGCTGTATCATCAAAATGGTTAGAACTGGTTTTATTTGTATAACTCTTTATGTGTTTCTGGTAAATCAATAAACTATTGACTTTAAAGTCATTGCATGTGTGGGAAACTCTATAACATTACCCGAGTTCGTATCTTATTTTAAAGAAAGCGTATTTGATTAAAAAGTATTAAAAAATAACAAAATAAAAGTTAAAAAAAAAGAACACAAATGAGTGTTCTCTATTTGTAAACTTTAGAACAGTGTTTTTAAGGATAAATAAAGTCAACCAAATATCTATCCTATTTGATAGACACAGCTTCACAGTTACCTAAGCTAAGTAAAGATGACTTTGGAAGTGTAGCTGGAACGAAATTTGACATAGCAGTACTATGTCCCCAGTATGAAATAACTTTAAGATGTCCTGGAACAGCTGTCGGATCTGTTTGATATTTATTTCCAAAAATAATTAACTTTTCATCGTATGTTAGAGCGCCGTATTGTCTTCTTTGGCGATTCCATAGTTTAGAAACAAGTTTTACTTCAATTCGTCCTGATAACGATGCATCGGAAATAACCCACAATGAGCCATTCGTCTGTAAAATGTAGCTGTGTTTGTCGTTCTTAAAACTGATCAGTTGTTCCGCTGGCCCATCTATGTGAGTTAGCTTGGTAAATGAGTTAGACGAAAACTGATAATTGTGAACAACTGTGTTCTCAATGTTGTTTTGGGTTTCAGAGGAGAAAATAAGAAGGGAGTTTTCAAAGATAGTTGCGTGGGTTACAACTAAATGGGTTGGAATGTTTGTGAATTTTTTAAATTCCAAACTCGTTGGGTTTATATGATAAATTACATTATCATTTTTGTCTAAGATGTAAATAAACTGCCCATGAGAAACAAGTAACACATTGTTTAAGGGCAGATTAGAAATTTCTTTCCAATCGTTCCCAGAGAAGACAAACAATTTATATTGCATGTTTGGCATATTAAGAGGTTTTCCAATTGCGTATAAATCTGCGTCAAATGTCACTAGCTGAATACTGTCTTTTAAACCATCACAAGTTGGCAAATCGAACCAAGTCTCATCGCTAGCACGTATTGCTCTAAACTGTCCATCTTTTCTTGCATAAACCCCAACGTGTGTAAAGCTACTACACAATCTGTGCACAGCCGCTGATGGCCACTGGCCGTCTCTTGAAGGTTGGGCTTGGTACGCTAAAGCGCTGTCAATTATATCTCTAAAGTCTTTATTTTCAGAACACATTTTAAGATGATAAACTCGTGTTAAAACCGCAGGAGTAACTAAACATGTCCTCACCAGACTCAGCAATTCTGTCATTTTATCTTTTCTAGATAAATGCTCGATTAATGCAACATTAAGCGAGTTATCAGAAGGTATTTTTTCCAATTCACTGCCATCTTTTTCTATGTCGACTAATTTGTTTGTGTTAGTAATATCTGTGTTAGCATTATTTGGAGCATAGCAGTCGACCCATCTTATCACTGATTCTAACACGATATCTTCACTACTGACACGAAGATCCTGGCTTTTTATCAATTCACAAACTTCGATGAAAGGCAGTTGTAGAAATGTTGCTGATATACTAATTTTTTCAAAGTTTCTCAACATAAAGCTTTGAAGCTTATCTAGAACAAAAGTTGAGCCAAAAAGTTTAGCTGTTACATAAATGTTTTCCCAGTTGTCCATTGTAATAGCGTTATTTGCAAATCGTTCACACATTTTTATCATAAAGTTAATCTGCAGCATGTGCACAGCCCTCCAAACGTGAATGAAATTATCCAACGTTAGAACATTGACACCTGTGTAAAGTGTTTTCAGAATCAACTGAAATATTTCATAGGAAACATCTTTTAACTCAACGCAGTTTTCTGTGATCTCCCTCATTCCTGATCGAAACAACGCTTGGAAAAATTCAGAGCAGGCAGCAAGAACGAGCTTATGACATGTGATTGTGTCATTGTGTATCTTGATTGTAAAGTCGAGAAACTTTTTGTCTGTCCACACAATCCCGAGACATTTCACGACCTCTGTGCAGATTTCAGGTGAGTTCATGTTGTAGGGAGATCTGTGAAGTAGATTAAAACACAAGACAATAAGTTTTTTACAAACACACACGCACACAAACACATACACACATAGTGTTGTTTTCAAAGACAGGCACACATGGAACCATATATATATATATATATATATATATATATATATATATATATATATATATATATATATATAATATATATATATATATATATATATATATATATATATATATATATATATATATATATATATATATATATGGTTCCATGACAAATGATCTCAAGGACAAATGATCTCACGAACAAATGATACCATGGACAAAATACCTCAGACAAAATATCTCACAGCAAAATTTGAATAGTATGTTCGATAATTTTAGTTGATTTGACCTTTTTTTTATTGACAGTCAATTTGGTTTTGTTTACTTTTTTATGCATAATAATTGTTAGTAAAATGAATTTGTTAAACTTAAAAGATTTATGAAACCTAATCTTTGTAATAGCATTTGATTTTAAAAAGTAAAAATTAAAACAAACTTACTCCTTTAGCCTGAAAGGTATAATAAATGATAATGTATAACAAATATAAAGTAACGGTAGCTATACAACATTAATGTTCAAAACACGCGAAACATTTCTAAAAATGTGAATGGGTCTTCAGGTTCGTAACGTAAAACTATTGTTTTTATTGCATCATCAACTCAAACATAACGTTTACGTTTCTTTGCTGACAGTACATCGTTATGATCACACCTCTCCAATACTATGTGATCATGTATTGTTTGAAAACTTGCTCGACATGTTCTAACTTCACATTTCCAAATCTCTTTGCTTGCTGTTCCAATTATGGCTTTAATAAACATAAATTCACCAGAAACTAATGTCCTAAAACCTTTCATATAGGTAATTAATGAGGCCATAGCTGAGTAAGCACCACCAATACTGCTTTGTTTGCAAACTTAGCTCCGCACTGACCGCTGTCTTTTAAATAAGCATTTGTCACTGATCGCTAAGGTGTGACCGACGCACAACAATGGACTTTAGATACTAGTTGTAATGTCCATGGGGGGCGGATGTCTTTCCTTTCAGGCATGTCTCTGCTATAAAAGCGGGCGGCCCCATAGATACGATACGAAGGTGTGTCTTTATTGTTATTTCATTCCCTTTGATCTAGTTTCGTCCACCTGACATGGTAGGATTGTCTTATGTTTGTCAAGCCCACCTTCATTGTCCTTCGAAATATTTCTTTAATCTTCGCATACTATATTAGAAATGTTAATTTTAAAATGTTTAGTGCAATATGACAAATGCATACTACACATATTTCTCACAATTATCATATAGCCCTATAAACAATATTAAAAATAGTAAATAAAACCATATGACACAATACAAAAAATGTTCAGATCAACTAAAATCATCCAATATACTATCAAAATTGTCCTGTGAGATATTTTGTCTGAGATCATTTGTCCATGATATCATTTGTCCTAATATATTTTGTCCAGGTATCTTTTGTCCGTGAGATCATTTGTCCTTGAGATAATTTGTCCTAAGATCATGTGTCCTGTCACCATATATATATATATATATATATATATATATATATATATATATATATATATATATATATATATATATATATATATATATATAATTATCTACGTGGGGACCTTGCGGGACACCACCACCACGTAAGCGAGCATAGCCTCCCCTCCTTCTCTAGGCATGTCGCTACCACTCCACCAGATATATTTTAAAATTCATTATTGGAATCAATTTAGTAGAATTTTATTGCCTTATATTCAAGACATCAAATTGCAAAGCCTTATGTTCATATAAAAGAATATTTTTTTCGCCATGGCATTATCTCATGCATTTAAACAATCAAACTATAACAATGTATCAAGCATAAAATAATTAAATTACAATAATTACCGAACACCTAAAACTAAATAATTAAATATATAGCTTTAATCAAATTATAGTAAAGAGGAGGCTAAATTTTAAACATTGGTTATTTGATCTTTATAGATGTGCTTCTATGCGATAAGATAAGCGCTTAACAATATTTATACTCCAATTAGATCTATTATTTAAAACACATTATACTTATTTTATCCGTACACTGATAATGTTTTTACGTGTAATAGATTTTACATAAATCTACATTCTATAATATTTAGAACTATAAAAGATTTCTAATGCCGTAGATTCAAAACATGCACGGTCGAAAGGAAAAGTTAGTAAACAATGTTGACATTGAATAGTCGCATCTCATTGGTGCGAGAAAATAGGTTTTATTTCTTAACATTTTTAGTGCGCAAAAGATCGTGTGCAGTCAAATTGATCAGTGTTCTATTAAACTAGCTGCATCTCCGCCACGGTAAATCTTTTTTAATTGTACCAACTTGGGAACAGAACAAAACTAAACACAACACAAACGAACGCAAAAAAAAACACATAAGAAAAAAAAAACACAACACTCATAACATAACACAGTTTAAATGCAATCATAAAGGTATATTGCTCACGGTCTAGCCCGTAGTGCCAAATCGCGCCCTTTCCGGTGATTTACACCCCCCTCAAACTTTCGATTTGCACCCCTGTCCCCCCCTCCCCGCCCTAAAACTTTCGATTTCCACCACCCCCTCGCTACGCCTCTCCTATAAAACCCCTAGCTTGTCCGAAAACCGAAAGATAGAAGAGAGCCTTTCCAGTATTTAAAATTTAAGTCACATAAATAGATCCTACTCCATCACAATAAAACAATGCGATGCAAATGAATGTACGGCAAGTGGTGATTACTTTTATGGTTCTAAGAAAACACATTGGCAATCTATAATATAAGCGGGCTGTGTCTGTCCGTCATCGCTATAGATTTTGGGACCATAAAAGTAAACTACGCACCATGCAGTGTCTTATTATAAGTATTAGAGTAGGGTTTGTTTATATAACGACATAGAGCTATTTTATAATTTCCACTGTGTTTACTCTTTTGCATAACTTAAAGAAAATATTAAATATACGCACACGGCTAAAACATATTAAAAGTATCAATGGCAAATATCATTTTCGTTTATATTCCCAGAAAAAAATGGATACATTTCAATAACATAATAACAGTACGGTAGAAAAATCAAATTAATATAACTCTTTTTTCTAATTTTGACAAAAGAGGTAATTTAAAAGTACATTAAACTCACGCTAATAAAAAATGTGAATGCAAATATACGGTCGTCATAGAAGGACTTAGTGTTGCAATAATATAATTAGCAAAATGTGAATGCAAATTATTCGGATGTGTAAGAGTAAATTATTGTTAGAAAATTATAATTAGCAATCTTTTATTTATTTTATTCACTAAATGTAGGCCCTACTGTTATTACTTATAATTTTTAATCAACTATTCAGCACTATTATAGACGCGTCAATTGTCATCACGTTCATTAGGTGCGCAATGGTTTAAGTTATGAAACTCAATTGTAAATTTTAAAATTTAAAGTACTGGAAAGAAAATGCGTGAATGGATAAAGTGAAATATTGTAGGTAAAATACGGATATTTTAAATACTGCCTATTATTTATACTGTTTACTACTTATTATTCTATCTTTCGGTTTGTGAACAAGCTAGGGGTTTTATAGGAGAGGCGCAGCGAGGGGGGGGGGCATATGTCCCCGGGTGCCGATCTTAGGGGGCGCCAAAGTGGGTTGGAAAAAATTTGCGAGGGGGGTGGTGGAAATCGAAAGTTTTAGGGCGGGGGGGGGGGGGGACAGGAGCGCAAATCGAAAGTTTTAGGGCGGGGGGGAAAGGGCGCGATTTGGCGCTACGGGCTAGACTGTGAGCAATATGCCTTTATGATTGCATTTAATTTGTGTTTATGTTATGAGTGGTGTGTTTGTTTTTTCGTTTGTGTTTTTTTTGCGTTTGTTTGTGTTGTGTTTAATTTTGTTCTGTTCCCAAGTTGGTACATTTAAAAAAGATTTACCGTGGCGGAGCACGGGATGCAGCTAGTGTAATTATAATTAAACACCGAAAAACACGCTTTTCACAGGCGTCCGCGCCCAGAGAGAGCCTTCCAGCATTCTCCATACTATAATTATAAAATTTCACCATCTGTTAACACCAAAAAACAAAAAAATAAAATTAAAAAAAATAGTGATTTTGAGAAATCATAGACTAATTAGAAAATAATATAAATAATCTTAACATTTTTCTCTTTTAATTATGAACCTTAACATATACTAATCAATGCGGTAGCAATTAAAAAAAAAAGATTAACTTAAATTATTGTTGAGTTAAATATATTTTCAAATTACCTCCCTTGAAAAAATTACTACCAAAAAAAAGTTGAATTAATTAGTTTTTTCGGCCTTCTTTTATAGAATGTATCCATTTTTTTCTAGGAATATAAATTAAAATGATATTTACATTGATCTTTTTAATATGTTTTAGTAATGTGCGTGTATTTAATATTTTCTTTAAGAGTAAACACGGTGGCTTTTATAAAATAACTTTATGCCGTTATATAAATAAACCCTACTGTATTGCTTATAATAGGTCAATGCGATGCACTGAAAAGCACTGCATGGTGCGATGTTTACTTTTATGGTTTCAAAATCTATAACGATGACGGAAGGACTGACACACGCTCAGTCCGCTTATATTATAGATAGTGGTACGCCGGCAAACCTATACACATGCATATATTACCTCCCTTACATTATAAGTCTCCTCCCCATCCCACACCCACTAAAAAAATGTCCCATTTCCCAACACGGACAATTCACTATGTGACAATATAGCTTTTTCCTTTCTCCTATCCCAACACGGACAATAATCTATGTGTCAAAATAGCTTTTTTCTATCTCGTATACAGAGTATTGAGATGGTAAAGATTCTTATGGAAAACATTTCACATACGAGGGATTATCAAACAATTATAGTCACGCAACTTATAATACTAAATAACCACTAACGGGTTGCAAAACAAGACAGAAGGAAATAAAGGA